CACACACACACACACACATACACACACACACACACACACACACTTGTAAACTACTCTGTCCTACCCCCCCCCCTTAGCCCCCCCCCCTTTCCTCTTCTCCCTGTTATTTCTTTAGACGCAGGTGCGAAAAAAGAACGGACGAGCTACAAAAACATTGCCATCTCTTTTTGACACAGGTTGTTCAACTATGTGAACGAGGCGTCGCTACTGCAGAGCCCATCTTACTCGCTGTTCCTTTCCCTTCTTGACAACTATAACCCGTATACTGGTCAGTCAGAGACTCTTAGCGGTGACGAGCTGGCCGAGATTGGGCAGTATCTGGATTATATTTTGACCACGCCCGTTATGGTGACACTGAAAACTTTCCTGAAGCAAAAAGGTAAATACATACACATATTTAGCGACAAAATATCAACGACCATTCTACATTACAATCCCTGTAAAGCGTACGATACAAACTCCGCTTTTTACATAAACAATCACAGAACAAGTCTTTTCAAAATTGAAAATGTAAAAATAAACAAAAAAGCATCTGAACAGATCTCTATAGCGACTTCCATTGGATAACCGAAATTTTCGACTAAAAAATCCTCTATTTAAGAACAATTTTACTCATTTCTAAGGATACACTAGTTCCGATTCTGCGTTCCGCGGTCTTCTCGATGACCTGTGGTTCCAGCTGTACCCGCGGTCATCCTCCGGCCCCGTGGACAGTAGCGGCTTCGAGCACGTGATGGTCGGGGAGTTAAAGCCCTCGTCGGTCACCGGGTTTCACAACTGGTTTCAGTTTTATCAGCTGGAGAAAACGGGCAGCTTAACGTACAGTGGATTCCGTTCGTCAGTGGAAACATCGGTAGGGTACTAAGCAGTACGGATCCTTGTTCTTGTGTTTAATGCCAGGTTATTCTTTCTGGAAAACCAAATTTCCACATTTCCGACAATTTTTGTTCAATCGTACTGTTAGACCCCATTCAAAATATGGAACTAACTTGTACGAGGGTCAAATATGGCGACCCACTACAAAGCTTACCGTCTAATCCGCTAATAGACACTGTGTAGATATATTCCGTAGGGGGGTATTCAAGTGGCTCGGCCATATTTGACCCTCGGAGTAGTTAGTCCCCTAATATGAATGGGCCCTTAGTTAGTTTACTACTGTACAAGAGGGCTAATTGTGTTCATAAAGGGCTAATTGTATATGTCTCGTGTTTTCGGACTGCTACCACACAAAAAATATACCATATGAACGAGCCGATTTCGGTTGAAACAGATATAACAAAACCTAGGATGAGGTTAATTTAACATTTACTACTTCTCTTCTCCACTGTATAAATTCTATTAGTGTATAATGTGATATTTTGAAACAAGAGAGATAGATGGATCACTGAGTGAACGAAAAAAGCATGAATAACAAATAACCGGGTATAACACATCTGTTTGATTTCATTTTCCAGCCCCAAGTTCTCAATGTCCGTCTGATGTGGTCCGGGAAGAGCAAGCCCCAGGCCAGCTTCTTTCTAGGGACCTCTCCTGAGTACGACATGGCTGTATACACTGTGTGCGCGCTGGCCAGGACTAACAGCCGCTGTCCTATCATACTAGCCGTAAGTGGACCTCATGCTCAACAGAATTTCCCGAATCCCAGTTGATTAATTACTCAGTTATTTTTATGAAGCTTAATTTGATTCTTTTGTCATTTCAATTGAAGTTTTTTTTTTTATTTTATTTTCATTTACTTTTTTTATAAAGCAGCGGTTAGGGATGCAATATAAGCTCTTTTCCATTGTTGGTCTCAGCAATTGAAAATTAACGGCAAGTCATTCCATGTATTGTCAGCACCTACGTGTTATATACAGTTACCTTAATTTTTATTTCTTTTTTCATTTCAGGGGAAGTCAGTACCCATCCAAACCTATGACGTTGGACACAAATCAGGCCTCCAGATTGCCACCTCCTACCCTGCTATATAATAGAATGGTGAAGATTTGTCGATTTTTGATCCTTTTGATTTCATTTGTTTGTGTCTAAATTGGTTGGAAATTTTATCAATCGCCTTCACTGTGAAAGTTTTCAATCTGTATTTTAGACTTTTATCTGTGTTAAAACACAACAACACAGCACCAAAAATTAAATACCATTCAAATTTGATTACATAGTTAATAGTCATATTTATAATATTTAAACTGATTCATGGTCAATAACAACCACAAATATTGAAATCTAACCATAAATGTTATGGCAATTCCAGTGTTCAATTGGATCTTGTTGCAATCTTCACACGTATATTTTATGAAACAGACTCGTTCCAAGTATATTTGGTTACTGCAGACATTTGCTGTTATTAACAAATTTGGTACAAAGTTTGAATTTTGCAGTTATTGGAGTACCTTACAGGAAATTATTTTACTTCTTACTTTTCTAAATCATGAAGCAATGGCACTAGAAAGAAGATACATGTACTACACCTCTCTACACTGTTCATGATCAGTATTGAGTAAAACGTGAAATCAGAGAGAGAGAAAGAGAGAGAGAGAGAGGGCAATGCACTTGGCTGACTTGTCAAATTTAGACAGCCAGACTTTCAATCGTACACCTTATCTTTAAAAAGACTGGTATATTTGGTGTTCGACTTGCAAAAAGAGTAAATGTTAGTACCAAATGGCTATCAATTGACTCCAAAGCACCAAGTATGTGTTCTGACTTAAACTCAATGAATTTAAAAATCATTTTGACAAACTCTTAATATAATATAAAAAAATTATATATTGTATGTAACTGATCAATAGATAAACACGTGTGCTTCTCAGTTGTAAACAGAAACACTTTAATTAACTATTAGGATGTTTATTGCATATGTTGGCCCAGCATGTTACGTTATGCATATAATGATGTGGTTGGGCCAACGTTGGGCCAGCGTATTACTGCCAACACCAACTATGTGCCAACAAACCAACCATTCCCCTACCTTCGCCCAACGTATGCATGCTATATGGGTGGTGGTTAGAAAAACTTAATTAATAAATAATAATAAATTAAATAATAAATAGATAAATTAATAAAATAAATAGAAAATTTAAATATTCAACGTCATATGCATGCGATCTGGGTAGTGGTTTGAAAAACTTGCACTTAAATTCGTCCCGAAATAATAAATTATATAATAAATAGACAAATTAATTAAATAAATAGAAAATTTAAATATTCAACGCCATTCATTTTTCATTAACAAATTATAAGATAATAAGACCCGCAAACCTCATATATACCAAGAATGCCCTTATATTAATCAATATGGTTCACGGGATGCGTAGTTATTAACACACAGAAACTGATCCAGCATGGGAACTTTAAGAAGACATGTTTCTCTCATATTACTGTCGATGCTTATAAACGCAAGTGCTAACGAAGGTGAGTTTTTTTTCTTGTATTTTGAACAAGTTCTGATTTTCAAAATTTTAGACGGTTATTAACGGTGTGAATTTTTTATACGATTTGCTAAACAAATGCTTTTAAGTCTTCGTTTTTATTTAATGTCTAATACGACGACCTGTAGACTTGCTCTGCTGCGCCGCAGATTTAAATTATAAATAAATATTGTTATTTTGAGACTGTTGTGGACTCTCTTGTTTTCATCCATGACATATTTTAGGAAATTGTATTTTTTTCAGACTTCTGTGACGGCCGCTGCGGTGATTCTCTAGACCGTACCCGCTCCTGTCAGTGTAACAGTGCCTGTCAGAGATACGGTGACTGCTGTGAAGATTATGTGGACTGCTGCCTGGGTGGGTGCAATTGAACCGGGAGTGTGTGTGTGTGTGTGTGTTGGAGGGGTGGGGAGGGGGAAGTTTCGGGTAGCACAACTTCTATACGGTGCAATGGGAGAGGTGAACGCATTAACGCGTTTGGCTAAACAACGGACGACTATTTTTTTCTTGTAAATAAAATGACATATAAAGTGGTAATTTTGTCTGCTGAACACATAAAAAAATGCCNGGGGTCTAAACCCCCCCCCCCCCCCCCCCCCCCCCCCCCCCCCCATGGGGATACCATGATGTTGCAGCAATCTTGCTTCATGGATGGGTGAATTGTCCTGCACTTAAGAAATGTTTCTGGCTGGATTTGCCTAAATATATGTGCCCCAACAGGATTTCTGCTCTGTATAGTTCATTAATGAAACCTCCTATGAATGACGTACAGTGGTAATTTTTCAGACACCGCCCCAGACAAACCTTCCGGCACCCTACACACGTGGGAGAACAAAATCGTCCTGAAACGCTTGCAATTGCTTTGGACCTCTCCGGACTCTTAACTGACCATCTGCAAACATCTGCTCTGTACATATTTTGCTACAATAAAATGCTTGGTTGCCGAGAAAATTAAGAAATAAGAAAGTGTTGCTTAACTTATTAGCATTAATCTATATTGAGAATGAGTGAATATGGGTCAATGCAATCATCAATTTATTTTTAACCTCCTTAACTCTCAAGATAAATTTGATTGAGGTGATATTGACAGGAAACGATAATAGGAGAATAGAAATTTGGGACAAGTGCAGTCAACAATACATACCTTTATGGGTGAGTTTGTTTGTTGTCTTTATTTGTATATTCTGCTCGTACATATACTTTAAAAATCAACGTCTGTCTAATTTTCAAACGGTAGGCAATTGCAGTTAAAAAGATTGTGCTTTTTTTAATGCAATAAAATTAATTTCCTGCAGTATGGTGGTTATAACTAAAGTACCAGTACCAATATCCAAAACGGCTGGTGTATATTTATTTTTCACTAAGAACTTAAACGCTAGCCGGGCATGCTTTTAAGTGCCAGTTTTTTTAAGCACCAGATAAGTGCGGCAAGGTGAAGATTCACACAATTTGACCTTATTGGGCTGAAATACTAGCCTGGGGACCCTTTTAACTTCTGCCAAACGTTAGGCCCTAAAACCGTATTTCAAGGGATTTATGCCGATTTTCGATTTTCCGGCTTTCGAAGCAGATTTTCAGTCAGCAGACATGCAACTCATATATATATGCTTATTTCCCTCTTATCTAGCTATATATTTACAATATTCCTATATGATATTTTTTGTCAATCAATATTCTTTCTTCCAAGACATTCAAACAAAAAATATTAAAAAATATTTTCACCCCACCCCCCAAAACCATATTTGAGTATGGCGATTTTCAAAGAGCCATATACACACTGGTAGAGGTCCTATGACTGTAAAACCTATATGTGTTTATAAAGGAACATTAGGGTGATAAAATACAAAAAGAGATCTTCGTGGACTTTTATTTTGTTGGCGATATATGCTATTGATGTCTGAAAATGTAAGAATTTAGATTGGTGTTGCTCTTGTCTTGGCCAGTAATACGTGCTCACTTCCTTTAATCACGACTCTCCGCGTGAGGGTTAAATAAGCATGGGGCTGTATCTCGGTAAAAAGGCAACGCAAATCTTTACTATTTCAAACATTTAATAAAGTCACAAAGATGATTCACTGTGAGTAATATGATTTTATTCTGTGAGAACCCAACCTTGAAACTTTCTGGCCGATTTGTCTGGTGTTTAGAAAAACTTGCACTTAACAGTAGATATGATAGATAGGGGCTTAAAGAACCTTGGGTCACATCCATGTTTTAGGGGATAACAATTGTCTGCATGAGGTTCATATATGTATTTCACAACAAAAATTGTAAGCAACAAATAAAAAAAAACAATTCCACTTTTCCACCAAAGCCTCGGTTATTGCAATCATCTGTAATAGGTGCTTGCCATCAGACTCTATGGACCTGCATAGATGGCTGTACCTCCGTAATGATCTCTCAAAGGACTTTTACAAAAACCAAACTTTTTAGGAAATACGTAGATTTACTTTGAATGTTAGCAAGGATTCATGAACGAGTGGTCAGTATTGGAAATTCGTCATTTACCTCAGAAAACCTTTTCTTTTTTTTTTTTACAAAAAGGAACAGTTGTTATCCTTTTAAACAGAATATATAGCGCCTTAATGTTCTTTGATGAAATTTGATTAAGAAAATTTGATGCAACATGGTCTATTTTTTCAAGAAGTTTTTAATTTTGCTGGATACTTGGGCAACGGCAGCCATATTCGTCCATGAAAATTTACCACAGATTTCATTTGAACACCAGGCTGTTACTAAGTCAAAAGCTACCTAAATCCACCAAATCAGTGCAGTATTTATACGAAAAGAATTTTTAAAAAATGACAATGGTATAAACTATGTTTATCCCTTTCAACTGTCAAAATGGACAAAACGTTAGAATGAACAAAGAAATTGAATACGTTATTGGATTTTACATTTAGATTGTAGGTTATCAGTAGAAATATTATTCCTCATTCCCATTTTCCTTTGCACTGTAGCATCAACATACCCTGTCTACACCTGTGAAAAGGACAATTTTTACTGGTCGATATGGCTGATTCGGTAGCCCAGATTATCACATACATGTACACATAGAAACTAATTATAAATGCTTAATTTCCCCCAATTCTGCGGAGAAGTTAAACGCGGGGTCTGGGCAGGGGGCACAGAGGGCACGTCACCCTCCTCCCGTAGCTCCCGACGTACTCCCTACTCTCCCTTTTCCCTGAAAATGCGCAGGGGCGGATACAGGATTATTTGGAGGTGGAGCGCGGATGCGAAACCGACCCCCCCCCTCCCCCCGCAACTTGGGGTTCGGGACCTGCTGAACGGTGCCATTTGGTACGGTTTAGAACTATGATTCAGCTAGTCAAAATTCTAATTACAAGAGGGGACCTGAAATCGAAGGGAGATCAGGACCCTCTGACCTCCCCCTCTAAATCCGCCACTGGGATTCCCGGTGAAATGATTTTAAAGACAATTTTTTTAAATTAAAAATCTACTCATTCATGTGCAATCGCAATCATTTTTAGCGATACAACTATGTTATTGTACATTTGCGAGAAATAAACCCGTATTAAACA